CACGTTATGGAAGGGCGGGATCTTAGTGAGTGGTCACTTGTCATAGTTCCTCTCAATTTGCAGAGAGAGGCATAGAGGATTAAATGATTTGTCCGGCATTTCTCAGCTCGGGAGTGGAAGACAGGAACCCATCTTCATGTTAATTTTCACAGGTTTCCAGAAATGCATTCTTCCTATAACATTGTGAATAAATTTTAAATTCCTCTGACCACCTTCTCAATCTTGGTCTCCCCCTCCATCCTTAGAACTGATCACGGTGTGGTCAGTTTGGAGTTCATCCTTCTACATCTTTTCCTATTCCATGTACGTGTATATAAATGGGTGGATTGAAAACATTCAGCACGTTTAAAATAAGTTTTATCACACTACCCATATTTTTCTACAAATTGCTTTTCTCTTTCAACAGTATGTCTTAGATCTTTCTGGATCTGTCCAGAGATCGCGACCTTATATGTATTTTTAATGCTGCAGTCTTTCATAACCTGGTGATGTCATAGTGCTCATAAGCCTATTATATGACTAATTGTTTATTGTTCCTTATTTTTATAGTAAACATGTTTGTGCCTATCTCCTGCATGCACAATATTTCTTCTAGAAATATTGAGAGATGAAATTACTGGGTCATAGGGAATATGTATTTTTAATTTTAGCAGTTGTTACTCTAATACTCATTAACATGGTTATACCAGTTTATATCCTATCAGCTGCATGACAGTGCCTGTGTCTCCATAGGCTGCAAAATGCCTGATATGATCAAATATTTACATGTGTGCCAACCTAACAGGTGAAAAATGGATCTCATGGTTGTTTAATTTGCATTTTCCCATTTGTAAGTCAAATTGAACATCTTTACTGTGCTATTTGTTTTTCTATGAATTGCCTGTTCAAATCTCTTGCTCATTTTTTTCTGTTGGATAGTTTTATTAATTCACTAGAGGCCTGGTGCAGGAAAATTTATGCACTGGAGCGGGGGGGGTCCCTCAGCCGGCCTGCCCCTTCTCAGAATCCAGGAGCCCTCAGGGGCAGGAGGCGACCCGGCGATCAGGGGAAGGCAACGCCCCATCACACCTCTGCTGCTGCCACTGCCGGCAGCGCAAGCCTCGGCTGGCCCTGGGCTGCTGGGCAGCCTCCATCTGAGGCTTCCCTGTGCCTCCGGCCGGCCCTGGGCGACTGGGGGGCTGAGGGTGGATACGGCTGCACCGTGTGCCTGCCACCCCCTTCACTCCCCCAGCGGGGCTGAAAGGACTGGGGGGCTCTGGCAGGGCTGAGGGGTCTGGGCGCTGCCATCTTTGTGACTGTGTGATGGTCAATTTGCATATTCCCTCTTTATTAGATAGGATTCAGCAAATATACACTAGATGTACACCATATGCCCAGCATTATTTTAGATGCTAGGGATTTTGTGGCAAGTTGCAAAAACAGACATTCCTGCCCTCGAAGAGGTGGTAGTCAAGGTGTGGGGGATAAGAATTGAGGAAATTCCTCTAAGCCAGTGGTTCTCAACCCTGTGGCCCTTTAAATACAGTTCCTCATGTTGTGACCCAACCATAAAATTATTTTCTTTTTTTTAAAATATATTTTATTGATTTTTTTACAGAGAGGAAGGGAGAGAGATAGTCAGAAACATCGATGAGAGAGAAACATCAATCAGCTGCCTCCTGCACTTTGATTTTTTTACAGAGAGGAAGGGAGAGGGACAGAGAGTCAGAAACATCGATGAGAGAGAAACATCAACCAGCCGCCTCCCTCCCAGCCCCCACTGGGGATGTGCCCGCAACCCAGGTACATGCCCTTGGCCGGAGTCAAACCTGGGACCTTTCAGTCTGCAGGCCGATGCTCTATCCACTGAGCCAAACTGGTTTCGGCCATAAAATTATTTTCATTGCTACTTCATAACTGTAATGTTGCTACTGTTATGAATCATAATGTAAATATCTGATATGCAGGATGGTCTCAGGCGACCCCTGTGAAAGGGTCATTTGACCGCCAAAGGGGTCGCGACCCACAGATTGAGAACCTCTGCTCTAAGTGAAAGGAACTGAGGAAATGTATCCTTTGTTAGATGGGACGAAGAGAAGCAGAAGGAGATAGGGAGAGACTCGGGGTAGGACTTGGCGTTCAATAGGACACCTGGGAATCTCATCCTTGACTTACTCACCTGGAGGCATTCTTGATATAATTTGTCTTAGTCCTTTGTCCTATGTGGTACATATTTTCTTCCAGTCTTTCATATTCTTTGGTCTTGGATGATGGTACTTTTGCCTTGCTCATTCTTTTTATTTATTTATTATAAAATCAAACTTGTTGATTACAATCAGGTATTAAAAAGTGAAAGTTCCTTCTTCCCAGACAACCGTTGTCAAGAGGCGTGTCTCCTCTGATTATTTCTATCCTCACTGCCATGCCACACTCCCACTCCCAGCCCCCGTCCGCCGCTGAAGCATACATTTTGGCTGTTTCTTAGTAAGTGTAGTTTATTGACACAGTCCTCTCTGGCTGGACTCAACGTTGCTTCCAGATCTCCTTCCCTCGAGATGAGACAGCCATCCTATGCTCTCTCTATGGCCCAGGAGTTTCTTGGAACCTTTTGTTTATTGGACCCCAGCCTCCGCACCCTGCTCTCCAATGGAGCTGCCATAACCTGATTCTGTGTTCTCTCCCCCAGCTGCACGGCTACATGGAGAACAAGCCGCTGGGGCTTCAGATCTTCATCGGGACGGCCGACGAGCGGATCCTTAAGCCCCACGCCTTCTACCAGGTGCACCGGATCACGGGAAAAACCGTCACCACCACCAGCTACGAGAAGATCGTCGGCAACACCAAAGTCCTGGAGATCCCGCTGGAGCCAAAGAACAACATGAGGGCGACGTAAGGGCTGGGGCTGAGGGTGGTGGGTCCGAGTGGCAGGGGTTTGAGAGAGGGGTCTCCCTGGAGTTGATGGAGGAGTGGGGGATGGTGGTTCCCAGTCTGTGATGGACCCAGAGAGATGACTGCTTTAAAGTTTCCATTTTAAAAGTGCGTTATCTACATATTTTTCATGTATTACTTAGGCATCTTTGGGCTCTGTTGGTTGGAATGAGACTAATTTCATTGACATTAAAAATGTTATTTGACCTAAAGAAAATTATTAAGTCATGATAGGTCAAAACTCACCAGGTCATTTGCGTGTGGCTAAAATTTGGGGACCATTGCACCCATGTATTGGAGTTGAAAAATCTTTTTATTAGAAATAAATCTCAAACGTACAGGAAAACTGCAAGAAACAAGAGCTCTCTCCAGCATACTGGTTCACTCAGATTTGCCAGTTGTTAACCGTTTTCATATTTGCTTGATCACTCTCCATTTTTTCCTGAAGTTAGTTACAGAAATCATGCCTTTTGACTTTTTAAACACTCCCGCATCTGTATCCTAAAAACCAGGATGCATTCTTCCGTGGCCACAGCGCATTTATCAAACTCAAGGTGTTAACGTTGACACACCGCTGTTCTCTATTGGACGTCCAGAAGCAGTTTCGCCAGTGGCGTGTTTGAGTTTTCCAGATGCTTTTGAGAGTCGAAAAGTTGGCATGAAAAAATCTCACTAGAGAGGTCATTTCCCCTGGGGAGTTTCTCTAATTGCTTTATAAGTGTTTTACTCCCCTCTCGGTGTAAATCCCTGGCTGAAATACGTATCAGTGTGTTGCAGTTCCTTCCCGCGTCTGGCTGTGGGGTTATTTGGCCTACCTGGCGAAGGTGGCTTTGTGGGTGATCTTCCCTGCTCGCTAAGACGGCTGGCTGTAAATGGGGTTTTCGTCCTCGGGCAGCATCGACTGTGCGGGCATCCTGAAGCTGAGGAACGCTGACATCGAGCTGCGCAAAGGCGAGACGGACATCGGCAGGAAGAACACGCGGGTGAGGCTGGTGTTCCGGGTGCACATTCCCGAGGCCAGTGGGAGGATCGTCTCCCTGCAGACCGCGTCAAACCCCATCGAGTGCTGTAAGTGGGGCTCTGGGCAGGGTCAGTTTTTGGAGTGGACTGTATGTGACACCCCCTCCCCCGCCCCCGCCCCACCGCAAGGCACCCTGGGCCAGGTACCCTGCCAAGGTCACAGGACCCACAAGGATCGAGAGTGGGCCCCGGATGACCCAAGGGGCCAGAGCCAGAGCCCATTTAAGGGCTTCTCTCTGCTTTGATTTACTTGTGGAGGGTTTTGCGGCCTCACAGGAAATTAAAAAATAATACTGCTAATGAGTCACCCACAGCTTTGCTTAGAAGATTGGAGATGTATAAATGTTCTGGTTTTCAAAACGGTTAGATGGCGTTGGAGTGAGTTCGCCGTACACCATGTCCTCTTTCTTTTCCTCTGTCTTTCTTTCAATAAGAATAACGATGATGTGACAGTGGCTCTTCCTATTGAGCTTGTTCAATACTGACAGCCGTCCTTGGTGATGGCCGGTGTCACCGTGCACATTTCACAGAAGAGGAGGGGGAGATGGGGGCAGGGCAACACAACCCCAAAGTGGCAGGGTGACGATGGAACGGGAGCTTCGGCACCCAGGAGCCACGCTGCCCCGTCCCCCTCAGCCCGTCCCTGTGCGTTTACTGAGAATCCACTGATGTCCCGTGCGGTGCTGGCGTCCTGCAAATGAGCCAGAGGTTTTCTCTGTCCTCAACGAGCTGACATTCCGGAGGCTGTAAAGATGCCCAAGCGAAGGGGCAGGAGGCGGTCAGAGTCCAGTGTGCCGCGGCCGGGCTCTGCCCGGGGAAGGGCTCCGGGCAGAACCCTGGCTCGTTTCTACCAGGCTTTGAGAGAGGCGGCCACTTTGAGCTCATTCTTAGGCACTTCCTGCCAGTTTTGTTGTTGGTTTTGCAATTAGATGGGACAAAGCTTATTGTTTGGTCAGTTGTTGAGAGTTCAGAAATCATCTTTAAAAGCATAAAGAACAAAGTAACCATTTTTTCAGAAACAAAGGCTGTTTATATTATTTTTTTAGCCTCTTCTAAGAATATTTTTTATGTTGTTGTAATCATGTTCTATATTCAGTTACGTTTCAGGACTTTTTCCTGGGCATTTTACCATATCTGGGGGTCAAAAAAAAATTGGTTTTCTACAGAAGCCAGGGGAGTGATGGAAATGAGTCAAGTGTGTTGGGTGGGCAACAACCGGGAGGGGTGGGGACCGGGGACCAGAAAGGCGCTTCCCATCTAAATAGACTGCTGTCACTCGACTCCGGCCGGAATGTCCATGTGGGACTGTGACGCAGTGTGGCCACGTCGTCCGACTTTTTAAGATAAACCGAAGTCTCCTGATTTTTAAAAAGCAGCAACAAATTCAAAATCCTTTATGGATCAGATAAAACCTGCGGCGCGGGGCTTTGATTAGTCATAGGTAGTCTTTATCAGACACTAATGAATAAAGGGCAAGCATGAATATTTTATGCAGAAAGGGCTGAGGAAGACTAGCCCTTAGGAGGAGAAGCCAGCAAGGAGAGAGGCTGGGCCCTCTGCGAGAGAGAAGCCAGCCCTTGGTCTTGGTTGGCCTTTGGAAAGAGATGAAAGAGCCCCCCGATTTCTTCCAGCTCTGGGGAGGGGAGGGGAGTCAAGATGAGGGAATGGCCGAATGTGGTGGTGAGTCCGTGCTCTGATGCTAGAAGAGAGACCCAGCAGGAGGCCACAAGGGAAGACAAGTGTTGACAAACATATCTCAGAAACATTGGAATTCCCCTTCTTACCCAGCGGCCCCAACCCCTGTCCTCCGAGTGCTATAGTCATGGTGGCTGCCCGCCTCCCTCCCACCCCCACCCCAGCCCCACTTTTGAACATCTGAAGATGTTTTGGGAAGGAAACTCGGGCTCTTCCTCTGTGATTTGGGGGTTTTTGAGAAGATAAGGGCTCCCCTTTCTGGCAAGTGACTCACGGTCCTGGATGGGGCTGTGGTTAGTAGCAAGGTGGGAAACAGGAGGCCTCGGGGAGGGCCGCACACAGGGTCCCTCTAGGCAACTTATCACCTGCTGATCTGAGACTTTCCCGATCATCACCCAACCACAAGCACCTCCCGCGAGGTCTTCCGGGCATGGTGAAGTCGTTGGCACCGTGAATGTCGGTTGTTTTTCTTCTCTTTTAAGAAAGCATTTGGCTGATTCGACGACCTTGCTTGGAGAGATAAGGAAACAGACTTTCTTGGTAAAGTGATTCACTCGTTTTTATTCAGAGGGAGCAAATCCAGAGTCTCCCGCTTCCTCCTCTGTGACATACCTTCTTCTTTTGGTTGCTATGACAGCGCTCTATCGTGCAACGCCAAGTTGAGCTACCAATTGGCCACTATCCCTCTCACCACCCAGAATTTTTTGATATTTTTATTTCCTTCTTTGTTCTAAAATCCTAGACCAATCTCTGGTAGTTTTATAAATATTTATGGACTAATTGACTTACCGTGTGAACCTTCAGGAGGTATTCCACAAGTATTTATTGACAATTAGTCCATCACATGTATTGGCACAGTGTGTGTGTGCAAGAACTGTTTATTGACTGGTTGACTCTGTGTGTAGCCCTTGGGGAGGGCGCGTGGGTAAGCAGAACACTCCGTGGGCCGGGACCTATTTGCGAGGCTAAGTTATTTACTTTGGAGGTGCCTTTTATGTAACATCGGAGGGATCGAGGGTAAATTCTCAGATTCTGGTAGAAAAAAAACTTGAACCGACTCCTGGAGGCCACTGCCTGGAAGGTGGACCTCTTTGCAGATGTGCCAAGTCCTTAGATGTACCCACAGGCCAGCGTGTCAGAGGTCCGGCCTCACCTTTGCATGGATGGGCGCCTCAGCTGTCTAGTCTGCTGCTCCCACATCTTCCGTGTTCCCAAGGAGACACTTTTAGTTCCTCCCTTGTTCTCAGAAGAGTGTTTTGAACCTGCTCCAGTCTTCTAAGCTCCGGACGCCGCCTTCACCCGTTCCCACTCCAGGCAGATAGCCGTGCCTCCCACGGTTCCAAGAACATGGGAGAGGTCAGAGGGGCACACCCTCCTCTTCCCCAGCAACAAGCCACCCACAGATCGCAGCCCTGGGCCTGTCCTCCTCCTCGCACTGGGCTCCTCAGTGTCCTCAGCTCCAGCTCCAAGGTCCCTGTGGAGGTTGAGCCCTTACTTCCCTCTTGTCTGAGTGTCCCAGGGCTGACGTGACCAACTGCCACCACCTGGGAGGCTTAAAACAACAAAAATTTATTCTGTCACAGACGTGGAGGCGGGAAGCCCAAAATCAAGGGGTGGGCAGGGTGGGTTCCTCCTGGCGGCTCTGAGGGAGAGTCTGCGCCAGGCCCCAGCTCCCGAAGGTGGCCGGCAGCCGCTGGTGCTGCTTGGCTTGGAGCCGCATCACATGATCACCCCTGTTCACAGGGCCTTCTTCTCAGTGTCCTTTTCGGTCTCTCCCAAGGACACTCTCATGGGATGTAGGGCGCACCTTAACCCGGACGGCTTCATGCCCGTCCTCACCTTATTCACATCTTCAAAGACCCTCTTCACAGGAGGTCACATCCTGAGGTCCCGGGTCCGGGCTCTTCACCCACGACACCTCCTCGGCAGCAGTCCTTGACTTCACTTCCCCCTGGTCCTCAGTTCCCCAACCCCCTGGCGTCCTTCTGTCACTTGCAGGCTTTCAATGACTCTGTGCCCTCCACCCAGAACACTGGTCCTCAAACTTGGAGTCAGCTGGGGAGTTTTGAGAAAAATATGCGATGCCCAAATTCTACTGCAGAGCCCCTGAGTTGGTTGGTCTGCATGGAGATTTTCAGAGGGACCCTGGGGATTCTGGGGGGCGGCAAAGTTTAAGACCCACTGACCTTGTTGCCTTGCCTCCTCTGTGCCCCACCCCTCCTTCCATCAATTGATTAACGCCTTCTTATCTGAGGTCCCTGGATGGATGGCCCCTTGAGGAGGAAGCTTGTTCTGGTCTCAGCGGATAGGGCCCAGCAGGTGTTAGCCAGGGCCTGGCACCTAGCAGCCGTCTCGAGAATGTTGGTCAAATACAAAAGTAAAAAATGAAAGCATGAAAACAAGCATCTCTGGGCTGCCCAGCAGAGAGAATGGCAGCGATGAGCTGTAACAGAGGCGGCCATAGTGCAGATCCTTCCGTGAGAACCTCCCCGAGGGTCTCTGCAAAGGGGTCTCTGTGTTCATCGCTTTTCAGAAAACACCCAAAGCCATTTCCCACCAAGCCCCGCCCAGCACGTGAATCCACTCTCCGCATTTTGCAGGAATGGGGGGCAGGTCTGGGGCGTGGGCTAGAAAATGGATTTCTCCCTTGGTCTTTGAAGCTATCCACATAAGTACATTTCGCTGTGGGATAATGAAGGGACAATAAATTGCACAGGTTGTAAGGCTTCAGTCCAGTGGTTTTGGACAAATGTAGGCCCCCGTGTAAACACCGCTCAAAGCAAGACGGCATGTCCACCACCCCTGAAAGTTCCCCGGTACCCACGGTCAGTGCCACCCCCGAGCCCCCCACGGCTCTGATTGCCATCAGCATGGATTGGCTCTCCCTGTTCTAGAACTTCATATAATGGGAGTATGCAGTGTGCGCTCCCTGTGTGCGGCCGTCTGTGCTCAGCCCGATGCCTTTGTGATCCGTCGCTGTGACTGCGTGAACAGTACTGGATTGTATGAATGTAACAATTGTTTACTCACCCTTGATAGACATTTGGGTTGTTTCTGGGGTTTGAGTACGGCAGATAAGGCTGCTATGAACAGGCTGGTTCAAGGCCTTTTGTGGACAAATGGTTTCATTTCAGTTTTTGTATTTTCACTCTGTACAAGAGTGTGTGAGAGTTCCACGTCCTCCCTAATATTTGATTTTGATAGTATGTTTAATTGCAGCCATTCTAGTGAGTGTAAAATGGCATGTCCTTGTGCATAAGGCATAATTTGCATAATTTGAATTTCCCTAATGACTAACGATTCTGAGGCCCAATCCGTGCACTTGTTGGCTGCCTGTATGTCTTCTTTGGAAA